TTATCAACTAATATTTCTCTGCAATTTCTTACAAATACTTTCGATAACTGTGGCTAAAATCACAGGAAGACAGTAGGGAGAAGGAGCCAGGTTTTCCGGTGATGGCATGAAATACATTAGGTGCAGGGGTCCCGGAACTACCCTAAGGTGTGTGCTTGGTGAGGTTCAGGGAGAGGCTACCCCAGGTGACATCACACAGAGGAAACGTGCTCTGCAGCAAACAAGGGGATCAGGGGAGGAATTCCCAAGCTGTGGCTCCCTGAGGGGGGTGAGCGGGTGCTGTTATTCAGGGTTAGGCTGACCGGTCACTAAGGGGAGTCCTGTCATCCCAGGTGAAGGTGGGCACAGGGTCGTGCAGGGGGACTGAGAACACCAGCTGTGCTGTGTCCTGTGGTGGGTTCCTGAAGCTTGTGCTCCTCCCAGGGCCGAGAGTTAACATTATAAGAGGCAGAGTCACCGGAGGACACGCCATGGTCCTTCTGCGCAGGACGAGTTGGTGCAGGAGCTCAAACCCATCTCGGCTGTGGGATCATTCGTGCTGTTTGCCTCTGAAATGCAAGGTTAACATTCCTGTAAAGAAGAAGGGGTTTCCCTGGGGGTCTTGGGTGACAGTTTTAACCTCAGTAACCCTGTGGGGAATGGTTTCATCCTGCAAAAAGAACTCAAGAATGTGTGTCCGGTTCGTCTTCACTTTTGACACAACCCTGGGAGTTTACCACCGAGTTATTGTCTCTGATGTGGTTACACTAAGTCCTGGTCTGGTAGAGACTGCTAGATTTTGCATTCCCTTTGGTCTCTTAAAATCCTTACCTATTGTTGTTGTTGCATTTCTTTGTTCAAACACTTCCTAGGTGGTTTGGGAAGATGGGTGTTGGGCAAGTAGATCCTGCAGGGCACAGATAATGGAAAAAACCTGGGGGCCTAAGATGACTGCTTTTGGGTCAGGAAAGTTGTCTCTCCCTTTTTTTTTTTTTACAGGGATTCCTAATTTTTCTGCTTACAGAAAGGTCAGGGCAGTTAGTTTAAAAATATTGCAATGATAAGATAAATAGTAAAATCTTTAGAATATCTAAAATAAAGTTTCCATTATTTCAGTAATAATTACAATAATAATTATTTTCGTAAATTAAAATTAATGAAAATGATACTAGTAATATTACCAACCAATAAAAATGCTCATGTTACTGGACAAACGACCGGTTCTGAGCGCACTTTGGGCTCTTCACCACTGGAAATCAATAATCAAGAGGCAAATGGTGGCAAAAGAAGGTGCTTTATTCAGGAAGCCAGCACCCTGCGAAGATGGTGGACAAACACCTCAAAGACCACCTTCCCCGACCAGGTGCCGCCCGAGGGTGTTACAGGGGGAGGTGCAGGCGAGGCTGGGGGCTCTGTGCAGGAGAACCAGGGGCTCAGGCTGTCAGTCTTGTCAGTCCCATGTGGACATGACCCCGAACAGACTTGCTTGCACCCTTGACAGCGGCTTCCAATGTGGTCAGGCATTAACCCCTTCAAGCCAGCAGTCTACAAATGTCAAGGAAATTCAGGTAGATCTGCTATGGAGCAAGGGACTTAGGTCAGCAAACATGGAGTGCATAAGCTTGAAACAAGCTCACCCTTAAGAGCAATGGGAGTGCTGTTACCCTGAGAGGAAGCATCCTGAGATGTGTGCAATCGGTATGTTATAGGAAATCATAATATTCCCTGAAGAATATGAAAGCACATTTGTTTTATTTTATTTTATTTTTTTTTAAGGATTTCATTTATTCACTTGAGTGAGAAAGACAGGGAGCACAGCTGGTGGAGAGGCAGAAGGAGAAGGAGAAGCAGACTCTCCGCCAAGCTGGGACCCTGATGTGGGGCTCCATCCCAGGACCCCGGGATCATGATCTGAGCCAAAGGTAGATGCTTAAGCATCTGAGCCACCCAGGTGTCCCATGAAAGCACATTTGAAAACATGGTGAACATCTGATTTTTGTCTTCAATTAGGAAACAAAGTACAAATATGTCAACAGGTAGTACGTGATTTCATGCAGCTCATATTCTAGCTTCTATTTTCCTGTTTGGAGTCTGGATGGAAGATACTCTGTAACTTCAAGGAAATTGAGGGAACTTGGCCACATATTGCAGAAAAGAAAGGACATAATCATGCTTTACAGAGAAGGATGTGAGAAATGAAGACTCACACAGTGTCTGAACTAGGGACACCCTAGAGGGGGTCTCACGCATTCACAGGAGAGCAGTCAGCGTGGCCACGTGCACCTATAGCCACACTCAGCTGGAGGTTCAAGTGGAGAGAGAGCATCATGGCGGATTGGATGGGTGGGTGGGTTAGTGAGGTGAGTGGGACTAACCATGGTGCAGTTATAAAGGATGGATTACAATGATGATAATGGGATCCATGATTGTGATAAGTGAGGAGGAACAGGGATTTAAAGAAATGAAATCAGCAGGGAAAGGGAAAGAGAAAAATGTACTTTCTTTCATGTTCACCTATATTCTCCTGCCCGTCCTCACTTGAATAGAAGAGGTGCTATTCCTCCCACCCAGCCTCCTGCCTTGTCACCTTGACACCAAAGCAGATGTAGAAAGACATCACTTGTGATAAAATAGGTGAACAATTAAAGCAACAATAACAGTGGGGCGCTCTCACCCTCTCAGCTAGGTTTGAGTCTCTTCCACGTGCCCCTCAGTGATGTGGCTTCCCCAGTCTTCTCACTCCACACGTTCTCCCCCAGTGACTCTGCTTCCCTCTTGACGCCCCAACCGCCCCATTTGTTGATTGGCTACAAGGACTCATGGATGGCCATCACCTCCTTTTGCCAAGTAGTGACCCCAAGTTTTCTATCTCCAAACAATTCTGGATATGCTTGACACTTTTTGAAAAGAATCAAATCAATTATCTAATTTGTTATGAAAGCAATGATTGTATTCACCTCAGCACCCAAAATAGACTCCCTGCATCAAGACTAGGGCTCCTCTCTCCCTCACCACATGACATGGGATCTATTTCCTTAACATATTTTAAAGCACACAATATTGTATTATAAGCTAGAGAGGCTATGTTGTCTCACAATTCTCTGAGGCTTATTTATCCTGCAAAACTAAAATTTTATACTCACTGAACAGATATTTGCCATTTCCCCTACCCTAGTCCTGGCAACCACCCTTCTCTTCTCTGCTCCTCTGAGTAGTGTGAGGGTAATCAGGTAGGATTTGCCCTTAGGGCCTGGCTTATCCCACTTCGCATAATGTTCTCTAGATTTGACTTCCTCCTTTTATAAGTGTGAATAATTGTATGTATATACAGAGAAGAAGGACATGATGGCCTCTAGTCTTGGGTAAAGAAATCACAGGGAGCAGGTAGATGGTGGAGTAAATGCTAAGGAGAGGAGACACATGACATTTCAAAGAAACTGAAGAATATGATTTAGTTGGATGAATTCCTGCTAATAGCTCACTTGACTAAGGGACTGTGAGATGATCAGTTGTCCAAATGTGTTAAATACAGAGCTCAAAATCAACTCTGTGGTCCGTGGAAGTCCAGTATCAACTCCTCAGCCCCAAGTCGCACAAAGGTCTTGGCAGAAATCCTCATGATGCTGGAATGACGGGTGTGTGGGCTCCGTGTTCACAGGAGAGATGGTTCTGCCAGGGAGAAGTAGATGAAGGGAGGCAATATACGACTGATTACTTATGTGCTGCTTAGGAATTGTTCTAATCAAATATCTCATCTACAGATGTTATGACAATTACATATCTAGTGAATTTTGCCAAACTGTAATCTTTTGCACATATCACTGAGCATTTTTATATCCTAGAATATGTCCATTTTATACTGATGCCCTGAAGAACCATTGCAGGACATTCAAACAGGCAAACAAACAAAACCAGATCCACTGTTCCCTGGTGTGGGACATCAGGTGTTGCACATACGGGTCCTTCAGCTTTTTCTAGAATCTCCTGCGGGGGTCACTGGCCACTTCAGTTGTTTTCTGTACGTTAAATACAAATGTGCCATTTATTTTCCCCAGTGATAATGGGTTTATTGAAGAAAAGCAAAAACTTGAAATCGAGGACGGGTAAGGTATGGTGAAACCACAGGCAAAAGCAGGCAACAAAGGATAAGGAAGCTCTTTTATGGAGCAAAGGGTGAGTGTGGGAGGGACAAAAGGTCCAAGGGAGTAAAAGGGAATTCTAATTACATGCCTTGTCATTGGTTGCGTTGTGACAATTTCTCATTCGCTGGGTTGTTGCCAGGGCGGGAAGAAATCTTCCTCTTCCTGAGTTAGGAAGGGACTAGTTACAGGCCTGCAGACTTGCAAAGTCTGTCCTCCTGCCTGGTCTGCAATTGAGGAGTGCTGGGCACGAGCGCTCCCCCTAGTGGTCTCTGAACTCCATGCAAAAGAGATGTTCCTTTAATTAAATATCACATAATATATGTATGTGTTTACATTCCCATAGACCAGGACTCTTTCTGAGAGTGAGACTCAACAATATCATCAGCAGGCCTGAAGGACCATCATATCTAGAAATCAGACCCAGTGAGATGCAGACCCCAGCTGGACTCTCAGGGCTTTGGGCCGTGGTGACATGTGTGCCCTGGACCAGCAGGTGGCGCTGTGGGACTGCCTTGTACCAAATAAGCAGCTCATTAGTGAGAACCATTCAAAGAAGTCTGGGCCTGAAGTCTGAGTCCTGTGCTCCCTGATAGGATTCAGCACCTGTTTCCCCTCTGGTCTGGCAGAGTGTCCCGAGGGGACCTGTGTGTGGTCTCAGCAGCTGCTTCCTCCCAGCACTGCCCCAGGGCTGAAGCCAACCTCCATCCTCCTCAGGGTGTGATGTGACCTGAGCTCCAACACCAGGCTCAGGAAAGTGAGGGGCAGGGACTCACTGGCTGGACCGTATTTGCATATAGAGCCCCTCATGTGGCAGAGGCTGGAGTAGAAAAGGAGGCGTAGGGCAGCCCAGCCCAGTTGGGAACCTGGGTCTGTGTCATCATGGCCTGCACTCCTGTCTTCCTGGGGATGCTCTTTCACTGCAGAGGTAGGGACAGGCCTCAGGCAATAGTCTGCATCACCCCTCTGCTTCAGAGTCTAGAGAAAATTTACATTGAACCTATCCAATATGCTATGAGTGTGTGTGTTTGCAGGCTCCCTGTCCCAGCCCGAGCTGACCCAGCCGCCCTCCTTCTGTGCATCTGGGAACGACAGACAGACTCACCTGCACCTGAGCAGGGACATCAGTGTTGGTGGCTCTAACATCTACAGGATCCTGCAGCAGCCAGGGAGCCCTCCCCAGGGTCTCCTGTACTACTCCTCAGACTCCGATAAGCACCAGGGCTCTGGGGTCCCCAGCCGCTTCTCGGGCTCCAAAGACGCCTCGGCCAATGCAGGGCTTCTGCGCATCTCGGGGCTGCAGGCTGAGGCCGAGGCGGACTATCACTGGGCTGCAGCTCATGGCGGTGGGAGCAGGTATCACTCCTCACAGAGTCTCAGACAACGAGGAAGTGGGTTTAAAACCTCTGGACACATGGATCTTTTTTCTGAGCCTCTTTTAAGTAAGAAACTTGCCTGGAGAGACATAGCGGGGTGGTCTCCTCTGCACGATATCCTATCGTTCAACAGGGAAAGAGGAAGAGTCATGTAATGCACGGAAAGTGACAGAAAATGGGGGCTTCCGAGGAAGACACAGACACATGAGATATCCGAGCCCAGCCTCACATCCCCACTCAATCTGGAGAAGATAGACAGCAATGAATTCTGTGTCTACAGCTGAACATACTGCTCAGCGAACATTCCTCCATAATCCGTTCTATCATCTTATTCCATAAAGTGTGACCTTGTGTCACGACTGATGTATCTACAACTGATACATTGACAATGACCCTGGTCACAGACACAGTCTCCTCTCTCTGAACGAGCTACATGAGAACTTGGACCAGATCCTCCACACTCTCCCTGATAACACGCCCCACACCCTCCTCCTCTTCTCCTCCCAGCTCCCGCGTCCCTCAGGCTTCAGTCTCTCCCTCTGGCTCATCAGTCTGAGCTCTGTCTCCACATCAGGATTTCAGAGAAAACCGGAAATGACCTTGGTGTAGTTTCCAGTCTCCAGGGCCCATTTCTGGGCAGGACAATGACCAGAAATTATAGGTGCTTGCAACCCCCCACATTCTCCTTCCTGCTCTCAGACCCAGGCCCCATTTTTCTGTTCTCAACACTCCCAGTCAGTCTCTTTGTTTATTTTAGAGGTTTCTTTATTTATGAGGGAGAGAGAGAGGGCACAGAAGGGAGAAGAGGAGGGAGGGAGAGAGTTTTCAGCAGACTCTGCGCTAAGTATGGAACTCTATGCGGGGCTAGAGTTCAGGACCCTGAGATCATGACCTGAGCCGAAGACAGGTTTAAATGCCTGAGACACCCGGGTGCCCCTCAGGACCCTGAGATTAGGAGCACAGCCAAACCAATAGTCAGACACTCAATCCACATTGCCCTCCACGCCTCCCCCAGTCATTCTCTTTAATAGGAAAATAAAGTTATTACATTTCCTGAAAAGGATGTATTTATCTACCTTTAGGTAATTGCACATGGGTCTATTGACTTTTACCCCCTTCAGAATGAACTGATGCCATGGGGAGTCTTAGAGGAATCCAGAGACAAAGGATGGCCTGCATATGTTAAGATATGTTATTATTTTTCTTATGCTCCAATTCGCTGGACAGAGGACTCACCATAGAACCATTTTTCTATGCTACTGAAAGCCCAGGGCTATAGTGTTTATTCACACATGCACAAAACCATCAGCAATATCTTGTTCTCACTCCCTGGTAGACCCCTGGGGACACGGGGCCTGTGGTTCTGGCTGGGATGTCAGGGCAAGAAGGAGGGGGCTGCATGCTCCCGCCCCACCCTGTGCTTCCAGACACCTGAAAACCACACAGTTGTAGGTCTTGTGTCTGCAGAGATAAAAAATTGACAGACTTCTTGTCACTCAAAAAGACCTGGACACTTGATTCAGTGAATGGTGAATAGGTACTCTCACATGAGCCCTCCTGCCCTAAATAAGTCCTTTCCCAGTAAAAATCTTTGAGATCCTTAACTCTAAATGCAGGGTCAGGACCCTGAAAGTATATAAAGAGAATCCCCATGGAGAAACCTCCCTCTGAGGTTTCAAAGTCAGAAGAGCAACAGGGGTCAGGTAGCCTCACTTTTGGACACACACACACACACCACACACACCCCTCTCCTCCCTCTCAGGGAATAGTGTGTCTGGAACTCTGCATATTCCAGGCTTCTCTGTCCTTCCAGAAGTTCGAGTCAACCTGTGCTCACCCAGCCATCCTCAGGGTCACAATTTCCAGAAGGCAGAATCCTCTTCCATAGGAAAACTGGAGACATCTAGTGTGACTGGGATCCTGTCACCAGGGCAGCCAGGATGGGTTCTGAACACCCGCTGTCCTGGGATGAGGCTGAAGCGCAGGAATCCCAGGGGGGAGTCCCTGTCCCCGTGGGCAGCTCAGCCCCAGACCATCTGTGGGATCCAGTCAGTGGCTGAGGCTGATCAGTATATTGATTCTGGGACCCCAGCCTCAGAACTCAAAACCCTTGTGGACAAGTGACACATGTTCCCTGTGTTCTCAGGACTGGGTTGTCACTCTTTAGTCATTCCCCAGTGACACTTCCAGCCAGGCTGCACTCTGATGGAACGTCTTCTGTCCCAACCAGGGCCACAGGGCATGTCACCTCAGGAACACACTTCCCCTTATCTCCACTTCTCCCCCCCTCAGCTTCTGGATATTTGACAGCAACTTCTGTGTCCAGTAGGCTTTGGGTAGTAAAATCCATTAGTTTTGTCTGTGTTTGGCAATTTTGTCAGCAGGATGGTTCTGAGTTCATAGGAACAGTCACCTCAAGGGGTTTCACTGGGCACCACGTGGCCCTTTCCTACATGGGAGACCAGACACATGGTACAAATAAGTGATTTTATTAATTTTTTTCTATTTTTATTTCTTTAAACATTTTTTTAATTTTTTGACAGAGAAAGACACAGCGAGAGAGGGAACACAAGCAGGAGGAGTGGGAGGGGGAGAAGCAGGTTTCCCACTGAGCAGGGAACCCGATGTGGAGCTCGATCCCAGGACCCTGGGAACATGACCTGAGCCGAAGGCAGACGCTTAACCATCTGAGCCACCCAGGCGCCCCAACAAATAAGTGATTTTAGAAAAAGTATATAAAACCCTATTCTCCTGAGAAAAGAAGGCATTCCTGTTCCATTAATTGCATCTTACTGAATGGAATTATGTATAAAATAACACACATTCTTCTTAAATATGACGTTGGCTCCGTGGTGACTGACACATAAACTCTGTCACTAGGTCCCTGTCAGAGCATCTACAGCTGTCACCCTTTTCTTCTTAGAACTTCCAGCACGTTTGTCCTTTGTGCTCTGAGGTCAGGGCCACACACAATCACGTGGCAGGTCTCCTGCAGACTCGTGTTTGTGCTGGGAGGACAGAGCCGGGGAGGGAATCCCTGCCCAGTGTGTGGACAACTGTTGTTTGAAGCAGGGGGAAACAGTGACAGGTGACAAAGATGATCAGTGTGTAACCCTCTAGGAATGCACGGGACGGCTTCTAGACACAATCTGTACAGAAGCATTCCCTTTCTCCTCAGTGCTGTTGGGACCTCAGAGGAAGGAGAGCTTTGGAAATCAGGGAGAAAGCACATACGAGGAAAGTCCCAGCATCCTGCACAGAAGCGACCCTGTGTCCATGGGGACCTGTTACTACTCTGGACTGGACACTCATGTCTAAGAGGAGTTTGTGTAGAGACACCACCCTAGTTCTGACCCAGAAACAGAGAAGGGAGCCATGTACAGATTCATTCTGAAGACTCTTAACAGGGCATATAGTGAGTCCTGACTTAAGGGAAGTGATATATAGGAACACCCGTTCAGGTCCTAATGCAAGGAGCAGTGGACAAAGCAGTTGTGGGGGGCGGGGGTTGCAGAGATGGGTCTGATGGGCCCTGGTCACCATGTCACACAATGGTGTGTCTGGTTCTGGACACCAGGGGTCACTCTAGTCCCATTTCTGAGGAGTCAGGGGATCTCAGAGCTGGGACCTGAAACCTTGCCCCGCCTGTGCCCTCTGCTCAGCACTCAGAGCTGGGACCTCCCCACCCCCTGGCCCGACACACCCCTCCCCTGCCCATGTCATTGACATCCACAGGCAGAGGGACATGACCCAGAACCAGGGAGGGGTCAGAGAACTGGGGTCTCATTTGCATACTCGGGCCCTCCCTCTCTCAAAGGATGAATAGGCTAAGGGAGAGATTAAGGGAGGCTCTGCTCAGCTGTGGGGCCACAGAAGGCAGGATCGGTGATGACCTCCACCATGTCCTGGTCCCCTCTCGTCCTCATCCTCCTCGCTCACTGCACAGGTGAATGGATGCAGGGACAGGGGAAGGGGCCCTGGGGGGACATGTGGGGCCCTGCTTCCTCCTCTTGTCTGAAGAACCCAGCATCACCCTGTCTGTGTCTCTCCTCCTTGCAGGGTCCTGGGCCCAGTCTGTGCTGAGTCAGCCACCCTCCGTGTCTGGGGCTCTGGGCCAGAGGGTCACCATCTCCTGCACTGGAAGCAGCTCCAACATCGGGAGTTATGGTGTGAGCTGGATCCAACAGCTCCCAGGAAAAGCCCCCAGAACCGTCATCTATTATAATAGCAACCGACCCTCAGGGGTCCCGGATCGATTCTCTGGCTCCAGGTCTGGCAGTTCAGGCACCCTGACCATCACTGGGCTCCAGGCTGAGGACGAGGCTGAGTATTACTGCTCAGCATGGGACAACAGTCTCAGTGCTCACACAGTGCTCCCGGCCTGTGGGGAAGTGAGACAAAAACCTGCTGTCCCTCAGCAACCAGTCTCCCGGTGCAGCTCCCCCTCCTTGGCCAAGTCAGCTCCTCCCTTTGTTTGGTCTAAACTGTAGTCTGAGACCAATATCAAGGAGCTCTGCCTATAAAATCATCCAAGTTCTGTTAAATTCAGCCCCTCAAGCCTGTCCTTGGCAGGAACACACTGTACGGTTTTCCCATATTGAGTGAAATTCCTGAGTGCCAAGGACAGACTCCCCTGATAACAGAGTCTGCTGATGAGGGAGACAAAGGCAGGAGAAATGTCCCTTAAAGTAAATCTGCTACAGCTGCAGCCCCTGGTAGATACCTGACCCCTGCGGAGTGTGACCTTCCTCAAGGACCTCATGGCTGCCTTAGCTCCTTCATGTGTGTGTTTGATTAAAGACTGAAGTAACCTCGTCTTCAGAGCAGCTAGCCCCTCGATTCCTGAAACCCTTGCTTCCAAATTCCTTAGAGACTTAGACTATCCCTCACCTCCACTAATTAAAAAGTATAAAATCAGTCACTCCTCACAATCCCAGTGAGATTTCTACCCATGTGTCCTGTCTCCGGGCTATAGCAACATCATCTTTTTTTTTTTTTTTTTTTGCAACATTCAATGTCTCAAGCATTCTCTCTTGACCTTTGGGTTCCACAATCCCATATCACTGTGACAAGTCAGGATAGAACCAGAGACAGGGAGTCGAGCTGTGTCTGACTGAGGATAGAGCACTGTCCAGTGAGTGTGCATTCACACCACCTCCTGAATACCTAGCATATGCCACATGTAAGTCTAGGGATGTTGGACCCATGTGGACATGACAGGAAGGTTCCCCATGCTCAGGGGGCTGATAGTGCATGGGCAAAGAGAGAGGACACAGAAGCTAAACATGTTGTAAAGAGAAGCTGTGTCCCAGGAGCATGAGGACGGTGAGGTTGGTGGGTTGGAGCGGGAGCATTAGAGGGGTGCACAGGGAACCCAAAAATCTGTTGTATCATCATGACATCCCCGTTCTGCACAGACAATGATGGAGCACGTAGGAGGGACATGGCAGGGGCCGTGGACTCTGTCCAGACAGACTAGGAGTTCTGGGCAAGGGGTTGATAGGGGACGAAAGTAAGAGTCTTCAGGATGTGGAGGAGGCAGGGATTGAGGATGGGAGTGGGATGGAGAAGAAGGAGACGTAGGCTTGGGCACAGTGTGTAGAGTGGGTTCCACCAGCTGGGACAGTGTGAGGACCTATCTCTCACGCAGGATGACTTACACCTCATGTTTCCGGGTGATAGAATCTACCGCCGAACCAGGGGACAATTCATCAGGACGTCTACAGATGCACATCTCTGTTTACTTTTGTCTGACCATTGAGGAAACTTCATCAGTGCCTGTTGTTGGGGAGGACGTATTTCCTCTGCTCTTCAAGGTCCCTCTGGCTGAATCGGAAACAAATTGACATTTGGCAGATTAACAGGAGAAAATCAAATTTAATAGCCTACATAAAGTGAATCCACACAGACATGGAGAATTCCAAAGACAGTCAGGCAACATGACACTTATATGAGTGAAAGAGAGGGGTAGGGGTCTGAGGATCAAAGAGGAGAAAGAGCATTAGCAAGAAGGTGAGAGATGCTCACCAAAATACTAACCAATAGGATCCAACAGTACATTAAAAGGATTATTCATCACAACCAAGTGGGATTTATCCCTGGGCTACAAGGTTGGTTCAACATCCGCAAATCAGTCAATGTGATACAATTCATTAATAAAAGAAAGAACAAGAATCCTATGATCCTCTCAATAGATGTGGAAAAAGCATTTAACAAAGTACAGCATCCTTTCTTGATCAAACCTCTTCAGAGTATAGGGATAGAGGGTACAAACCTCAATATCATAAAAGCCATCTATGAAAAACCTACAGCGAATATCATTCTCAATGGGGAAAAACTGCGAGCTTTCCCCCTAAGGTCAGGAACGCGGCAGGGATGTCCACTATCACCACGGCTATTCAACATAGTACTAGAAGTCCTAGCCACAGGAATCAGACAACAAAAAGAAATCAAAGGCATCCAAATCAGCTAAGAAGAAGTCAAATCCTCACTGTTTGCAGATGATATGATACTTTATGTGGAAAACCCAAAGACTGCACCCCAAAACTGCTAAAACTCATACAGGAATTCAGTCAAGTGGCAGGATATAAAATCAATGAACACAAATCAATGGCATTCCTATACACCAAAAACAAGACAGAAGAAAGGGAAATTAAGGAGTTGATCCCATTTACAATTGCACCCAAAACCATAAGATACCTAGGAATAAATCTATCCAAAGAGGCAAGGGATCTATACTCCCAGAAAACTATAAAATACTCATGAAAGAAATTGAGGAAGACACAAAGAAATGGAAAAACGTTCCATGCTCATGGATTGCAAGAACATTTGTTCTTGTGACCATGTCAATGCTACCTACAACAATCTACACATTCAATGCAATCCCCATCAAAATACCATCCACTTCTTTCAAAGAAATGGAACAAATAATCCTAAAATTTTTATGGAACCAGAAAAGACCCCGCATAGCCAGAGGAATGTTGAAAAAGAAAAGCAAAGCTGGCGGCATCACAATTCCGGACTTCCAGCTCTATTACAAAGCTGTCATCATCAAGACAGTATGGTACTGGCACAAAAACAGACGCATAGATCAATGGAACAGAATAGAGAGCCCAGAAATGGACCCTCAATTCTATGGTCAACTAATCTTCGACAAAGCAGGAAAGAATGTCCAATGGAACAAGGACAGTCTCTTCAACAAATGGTGTTGGGAAAATTGGACAGCCACATGCAGAAGAATGAAAGTGGACCATTTCCTTACACCACACACAAAAATAGACTCAAAACGGTTGAAAGACCTCAATGTGAGACAGGAGTCCATCAAAATCC